AAAAAAAACCCATACAATATAACTACATATATTAGACTTCCACCTACTATTTCTCCTCTAGTGTATATAATAAGAAATTCTAAATATAAAATTACTAATACTTCTGATATCAAAATAAAAAAAGAAATGGAATCGTGTGATTATTAATTTAATCAAATTTACAAATTGTGACACCATTTTAGACCCAAAATGAAAAAATGGGAAATGATAAAAAGTAAAATGAAATCGAAAAACAAAATAAAATTTCTGATTGTAATTTTTTTTTTTAAACAAAATACCTACAACAGCCATATAAAACTCAAACATTGAAAAAATTTGAATAGGGGAAGAAGAAACTATAAGGGTAGGGAATTTTTTATTAGATCTGTTTATCCATGTTAATTATACAATAATACTCACTTGAATTGCGTGAATTCTATTAATTATACATAAGTTATTTAAGTGCGAATATTGTATATAAAAATTTATATCAAACCTAGTATATACTCGTAAAAATACGATAATGTCAAGGTAAAGTTTTTGAACGTGTTATACTCAAATTTTGAAAGACTATTTTGCATTCTTTATAACAGTAATAAAACTTTATTACATATAAAGTTACATTTGCGCCGTGTGTGTTTTTTGACATTTTAAATCTATCATAGCGCTTCTCTATTTTATAATAAAAGAATATTTAATCCTTATAATATTGGATTATTTAGCGCGTTGAAAAAATAAAACTAATAAAATATAAAATTCACACTTTAAATAGAGGATTGTAAAAATGGATTGCGTACCTACAAACAAAATTTTCTAGTTGTAAAATAAGGGGTTTGTTTGATACTTAAAACACAATATATTTCTCTTTTACAGTCAGTGTCAGTGAATGTTTTGAGAGACAAAATATTATTTTCGAAGAATTCTTCATTTACATATAAGAATTTTTTCTTGATTTCAATAAACTTGAATTACTAGTTTTTAAATTTTATTACCCTTAACCATAGGGTTACACGCACTATTTTATTTTCAAAATTTCTAAACTTAGATGAAGTCTCAATTTAGTGAAAAATTTCGGTTTCCGTTTTTCTTACTCACACTTTCATATTTCACAATTTAATAAAAATTTACCGACTCAATGCTATACAGAATTAATTTCAGAATTTTATTGAGATATAATGAAAAATCATTGACATTAACACATTTAATTAAAATTTTAGAAAATTTTATTTATTTTTCTAGTTTAGCAGGAAATTTTAATTATAAATGTATATTCATATTAGTTGTTCTCTTAAATTATGCCGCATTTTAAATTTTTCACAACTTATTTTTCTCTCTATAGCCTTCATTTCATGTTAATTACCCAACTATTCTCATGTAGTCATACATGTATTTCATCCTTTTTATTTTAGATTCTTCTATTTCATATTATCAAGCTATAATATATGATTTATATTATATATATAAATATGTACATAATGTACTTTACTTATTGGCATATTTCATAAAAATAACAATTCATACATGCCCATTTATAATATATATATGTATATAAGAATTTCTTGCATGTATTGTGGAAAAGTTTGATTTTCGCAGTTTTTTTTTTGTACAGATTATTATTAAAATTTTGTTGTTGTTCGACTAAGCGCTATGACGTCATACGAAAGTTTTTTTTTTTTTATCTCTTAATTGTTTATTCTAGCTTTTTCTGCCCCATCATAAAAATAGAAATTTTTCTGATAATGTTTATACACCCCTTTTTATTATATCTTCGTCACTCACCCGGTTAGTACTTAATAATCCCTGCATCTATGTACTCGTAAAAATATAGTAAAACATTTTATTATGCACATACAAACATGATATGTACGTGCATATGTCAATACGAATAATGTATTTTTAGTTTGTTACGAAAAAAAAAAAAATGGGTCAGAAATGAAAATAGAAAGGTTTGAGGAAATTTGAATATTTCATTTAAATTGAAAGAAATAAAAAGATGGGCTAAAAATAAAAATAAATTGAGATAAATGAGATATTAAGATGATTTAAGTGAGTTTAATATTTGTTGTAGGTATCTACCAGCAGATCTAATGTCAATTTGACGTATTCAGCAAAATTATTTTAATTTAAGAATAAAAAAATAACGTGATAAGAATGCATTTAGGTAAATAGGTATGTGTACAATATTATAATATAAAATATTTAATTGCAAAATATAAAATATTTTTAGCTTATCTAATTTACGATATTAAATCGCTGGTGTTAGTACAAAATTCGAAGGATTTTGTGATAATAATTTTCAATTAATCTGCAAAAAACTATTTGTTAATATTGAAATTGAATCAAGTCTATTGGTACTACTACACAATTAAGCAATTAAAGTGCTTATGGGCTTAAACTTGCTTTAACAAATTATACTGAAACTAAAAGAAGATCAAGTCACTACTTTTTGATAATAAAGGGCCTCTGTTTAAGAAGTATGTATGTATGTGACTGAAATAGTTTATCCAGTCTTCACATTATGTATTATGTATGTATGTACGTACATATTTACCAATGCGAATGCAACGACTATTTATTTCCATTACACGAGTTGTGAAGGTAAAAAGTTGATTAAATAATTTCAATCTAAAAACATATGTACGTATGTATGTAAATACATAAATCATTATTTGCATAATAAATTATGTATGCCAACTACCAAATATGAATTATATTACACTATAAATGTCTATACAAAATTATTTTCCATAATATGTTTTAGTATATATACATACATATGTAGATAATATTAAGAAAATTAAATTTTATTACAACCTGTTGTTATTTATGAGGGTATTCATAAGAACTTTTTTATCTGAATTGGTAATACCTATGTATATGTAGTGAAAAAAATATTCTTGTAAAAATCTATATGAATGTAAAGTAATTGAATTTCTCTATGCAAAAATTTCGAGAATTTTCGAAATATATTGACATACTACGACGGTCGTTTTCTTACGCTTTTTAGAAATCATATTTATTATATTTATACATACATATGTATATGTATGTCTGCATAATAAACTTAAGTTGATGTTATTTAATGTTAAAGAATGTTAAAATATAATTATACTTTTATAAACATAATAATATTATGCTTTTTTATTAATCTACACAATAAACCAACATACATAAACATCAACTTGCTAAAAATTTTATTCTAATAAGCCGGTGTTGACTAGTTTTTAGCACAAACCTTTTTATTTAAAACAATTTTCGTTTTATTTTACCGTTTTGCGAAAAAATTTTTTAATATTTTATAGGGCAAAAGTAAAAAGCTCACACATATGTACATATGTTTTTTTTTTCATCATACTGACTGCTGAAACCAGACACAGAAGTAATAAAAAAAAAAATACCGTATTTTACCAAACCAACAATAACGCCGTATCAAATTGCAACCGAACATAAAATATTATGCACAAACATATACATATTTTACAGTTATAATGCTCTAGAGTTACTTATAGGTTAACACCAGGGGTAGATTTCATTTGCTAACTATGTATTTGATAAGCATCCAAATTAAACATTTTATAAAAAATTAAATCTCAAAATTTAATAGTTTTGTTATTATTTTATATTTTTATTATGTATGTACTTACCTAGTATTGTCACATACATATCTACATAGGTACGTATGTTTGTGTATAAAGCTATCTTACAAGTATTATGCTTATTTATAAAACTTCCGGCAAACTGTATAATCTAAGTTTTTCACAAATTTTACAAAAAATAAATGTTTTCGCGTATTTGATGGTAATAAATAAATTATTTGCTATCGTTTTAAGTATTTAAATAAAAGTATAAACTCCGTTCGCTTTAATCACTTAAAATAGATGCTTTACTTTTCAATTAAATAACTGTAATAAAAATTTTTGACATCTTAATATTGAATACAAATGTCGACATTTATTACGTTTACATGCAGCTTAAAACCGACTTCAATTGGAATTTTTTTATAATCGCTACAAATGGCTTGAAATTTTTTTGTCAAGCCGATCAGATAAAATTTTAGCATGAATGTCAAAATCATGTCCATTTGCAGTTATATTATTTCAATCTGTACAGTATACATATAAATTTACGTAGATTGAAATTTTAAGCCAAGCACTTAATCCGCCATATAAACGACAATTTTTGTAATTAACTTTATATTTACATACTCACTAGCGCCCCAGTAGTTTGTTATGTAGTTACTAAAATTGTCTCCTGTATTGTTCTACAACTTATATACACACTGCTACGTTACAGTATCGTGTATATTGTGTGCAAGAGCTCTACGTTTACACAGCAGTCTCAACGGGTTGAGCTATAAGATTGTCAAATGACCTTTCATTATAATAATATTTATATTTACTCAAGCGTAACCAGGAATAAAATATGAAATAATTTAATAATTTTGTTAAATAAATTTTTTTATAGCATTTTTCAGCAATCAATCTAATCTGACATGACATAACTTACATACAATATTAGAAATGCTTTAAATTAATAAACAGCTATGCTTTAAGATTTTCTTCTTGCTGCATAAGCATTCATTTTAAGCAAATTTAGCTAACACAATTTGTTAGCTAAATTTGCTCAAAATGATTTATTAGCTAATTTTTAGGTCTTTTAGCTACAATAAGTAGGATTTTAGTTTCCTTTACGCTGCTGTTTTGACATACTGTCATAGTTATGAAAACAGTAGTTTATGCCAAATTTTTTCATTTATTTGCTCAAAATTAAAGAATTGCCAGCGATTTTTCTATAAACTTGAATACATATTTTATATATTTATAATAATTAATATACAGTTGGGTATATCTTATATACTATTTTTTTGCGCTATCAAATAAAAAAAAAATAAAAATTAAAATAAAAAGTAAGCACAACGAAATTATTTAAAAAGCTTTATGATTATTGTATAGTTTACAAAGAAAAAAAAGCAAAAAGTATAAGATGTGAGATGTTAGTGAGCTACAGTACAGCGAGCGTTTGAAAAATAGAAGTCTATGATTTTTTTTACTTTAAAACATATTCGCTTTCTTGTATTTTGAATTCAGTCGTAAAACAACTATTCTATAAACAACCCCGCATACATAAATTTATACGATTAGATTGTAGATCATAATTAAACTGGAAAATTTTATTCAATTTTTTTTTTTGGAGTTATGCACCAATTTTCGTTTATTTTAAATTTTTAAATAAAAAATTAAAAATAGTTTGCGAATTTTATTTTGATAATTTTTAATTCTAGGTTAATTTTGATATTAAAAAGTTTTTAATAGGTGTGTAGTTAAAATTGAAAATAAAAATTATTTTTAAAAAATTCTAGTTCTTAATAATTAACCAAAAATTGTTAATTTTTTTTAATTTTATATTTTTATTAAAAAGTGAATTCAAATATTAAAATTCTTCAATAATAATAAATAACAATTTTTTTGTGGTTTTGTTATTATTTTATAGTTTTTATGCCAAAAAATTAGTGAAAAGTGAATATTATTTAATTTGGTGGCAGTGTTGGTGCATAATGGAAATAATGGAATAATGCCAAATATTTCTCTTTAAATCAGCTGATTTTTATTTTTGATCGTTTGCGTTCTTCGACAGGTAGGTAGGAGAGGAATTTTGTTATTTCTTTTTTGACATTTTGTTTTCTTGCTTTATTTTTTTTTGCCTATTTTTAAGCGGTTAAATTCAATTTATTAAACAAGAGCTAGGTGGTGCATTATTAATACGAAGTTAAAATATTGTATGAGAAAGTTAATAACATATTTACATTACATTATAAAGAAATATTAGAAATTATGGGCTATATTTAATTGCATTGTGATATTGTGAGAGTATTGCTGAATTTTATCTACATTTGTTGAATGGATTAAAGAAAAAAGCTAGTTGAAGAATGGAAACGGGTCAAGTTTACTCAAATATGTATGTATATAGCAATAATAGTAGAAGCTACAAGTTGTATATAAATTATCTTTTTTAGAAAGCATTAGAATTTTATTTAATCAAAAGTATCAATCACATTTGCTTAAAGTTTAAATTGTACAGAAATAAAAACTGTACATTTATATTTTTTCCAGAAATTCATCTCGTTGTAAATTCCAAGTAATTTCAATTAAACATGCAAATATTCTGTGAGTTGAATTCTTTGGAATTGATTAGAATGTAAATATGTATGCATAAAATGAAACAGTTATGTATGTCTGATTCAGGCTTTGTAAGCGCAAGTTATAAGTGACGCTGAATGTAGTTAATACCGTTACTTAAAAGTATATTTTCAATGAATTTTCTAGTATTTGCTTTATTTGTGAAATTTTGTAGCCAAAACTTTTTCCAAAAAGTGTTTTTTAATCTAACACCAAGAAAAAAAGCTAGTTTGGTTGTCGTATAGAAGAAATTGATTTTTGATTGAGATCTGGAGTAAGAGAAATTAAAATTTAGCTTTAATTACTACCTTTGTAACTACCTAATTTGTACAAATGTAAAGTTAGAATTTAAACGTAGATATATAAATACTTATTTTACTACTTAACGGTTAAATTAATATAACTCCTATTGTTTTATAACAGTTTGATGTCAATTACATGTGTACATAATCTGTTAACAATTATTTATTTATAATTTGACCTAATTTATTTACAATATATAAATTTTAAAAAATAGCTGGTGTTATTAAGTAATATGAGGAATGCACTTGCTTGATAAGATTTCAATAAGAAGAATTTTTTACTTAGTTAACAAATATTAAAACTTATTTAAAATTTTTATTAATTATTAAATGCATAAGTTTTTAATTAATGTAAAAATGTGTATTGACATATTTTTACATATTGACCTTAATATTTTAATTTAGAGGATTGAAGTATATACCTATATAGATGCGTATCTTGAGAATTTTTTCTTTATATATCCCCTAGTGTGTTAAGATTTAATACAAATATTTGTAGCTACTAGTACATAAAATTGAAAATTCTATAATATTTTTTATAAATAAGTGCTTTTATAAAGCTATATGTACCTACTCACATACAATTATATATGTTTCTATATTGTGAACAAAAGAAAAATACTCTTTTTAGTTCTTAAGATTTAAATATGAAACACATGTTTGAAAATAAACTACTTTATTATTTAAATTTTATAAGTATTCTTTATGTAAGCTTTTGATGTTAAAATGAGTTAAAACATATTTAGAATGTCTATTTTTACAAATTCAATTATTTAAAAAAAAGAAAATTATAAATAGGTACTTTAATTTTTTTGCTTTATTTAAATTAATTTTTATTTTATATTTCCGAATGATTTAGAAAAAAGTAGTCTTTTCTATCAAAATATAGCACTTAAACAAGTAGTCAACATTTACAAAATTGAGAGCGTAAGGTTTAGACGTATTGTAAGTCCTTCTCAAAATTTATAGTCTAAGACATTACTTATTCTAACTATAAAAGAGTGAATTATATAAAATATTTTTGAAAATCCCTTAATCCGTTAAGATTTTACTTAATTTGTAATTACTATTTGATTAATAGTTTTATTTTTGATATATTTTCTTATTCCATACTTATTAAGTATTTAAAATACTTTTTGAGATTTAAATCTCTTTTGAAAATTTAAAATTTTTTACAAAATTTGCAGAGTATTAAGTACTTTTACTACAAACAATCTTGAAAAACATCTTTTTCTATATTAAAATTAAATTACCGGCTGTTTTTTACCTATTAATTTTTTTATATTTTAGGCAAATAACGAAAACTTAAAAAAAAAAGGTCATAAAGTATTAAGGCTTAATATCATTGTTAAAAAATTTGAAGAACTTGGAATAAAAAAATGAGCACATTACAAGTGTTAAAAATTGTGTGGTCACTGAAATGTAACTGATTATATATGTTAAATATACAATATAAGTGTGTATGTAATTAATAGTTCGCGAACATTTAAATTTTTTAACATTTACAATTTATTTGAAAGTGTTATATAATTATTTTTTGTTATACTCGTATTCTATTGTTTCTTTCCACTTATTAATTCAGATTTCATATGTATGTATGTAATGAACTAGACTTATAAGTATTTAAATCATATTAAGGAAATGATTTTTGAGGAAACGTTTAAATCTAGGATTATTTAATATTTATTTATATTCGTAAATAATGTATTCTTAAGTACATGTAAACAAAAATATGTGAAGTTATTTTTCATACATTATTTAATTAATTTTCAACCATAGATAAATAAAGTGACTTTTTAAGTTTCGTATAAATGTAAATCCTATTTGGATTTAAAATTTATTCTTAAGATTTATAAATTTATTAAATTTATAAGATTTCTTCGTTTTTAAAATCTTACTTTAACTAGTTAAAAGTATTTTTTTCTATTTTGGCACAACAATTAATTGAATATGAATTTGATTCTCAATTTTGAATCATATTAATTATTCTACATCCTCTATAAATAAATATTGTAGGTTTCATATAAGTAATTATTAATTAAACAAAAATTTTTATTATAACCCATTTGAATACATAGTTATTGTTTATTTCCTGTTGATTTTGCTAGAACTAAAAATAATTACATTGTAAATATATTTTTATGTTTTAAAAATATTTTTATATTTTAAAAATATTTTTATATTTTAAAAAAATAAAAATCGTCAACAATTTAGTATAATAATTAAGTTGATAATTAGAAAATCATAAACCACAACATTTTGCCTTGAAATTAGTTCATTTTTCTTTAACAAATCTTATAATGTGCCATGCCGCTAAGACAGTCTGCTTATAAAATCTATATTTATTGGAAAAGAAGTAGTGTTTCAATTTTATTAATTTTGTTAAAAATTTAATGAGTTATCAAAATATTCCATAGTAAAAGTAATAAAAACATTAGAAAAGGAATGCTTGACTAGTTTCTTTAAAGCAACTTTTCTTTCTTTTTACAAAATCCCAAATTTTATAATTTTTGTTTATGAAATCAAAAGTAATTTTGTGGCCGATAAACTAGCGTCTCAGATGAAAAAATTTCGTTTTTAAATTCACTTTTGTTTTTCAAGCATAATTTCGTATAATTTTGCAATTACTTACTTAATTACACAAAAACTAAAATAAAAAAAAAGAATTTAAATTATAAAATTGCAGAAATAACAAACAATTAATTAAATAAAATTACATTTTGAAATTTCCTTTCTTAAATCATTCACTTTTTTAAGTTCCACACTTCTGTTAAAATTCACATTTCTGATAAATTTTGTTTACTATATTTATCTTTTATTTACATTTTTATGATATAATATATGATATCGATGAAAAAATGACCTCTATTCAGAAATAAATACTTAAAAAGTATAAAATTAGTTAATCACGGAAGCTCCACTTTAAAAAATCGAATCAAATACGAAAAAAAAAAATATAAGTTAATTGCTACAGTTGTGATAATTTGTCAAAAAAAATATGAAATTTTCACGTCAGAATACTAGAAAATTGTAAAAAATTAAATTAATTTAAATAATGATTAATTTAATTAATGGTTATAATGAAAATTATTCGCGTGACTCACCTTCTTTTCCAATTTTGTTACAGAAAGTGGAATTTTTTTAGAACATTATTGGTATAAACATTAAATGTTTGAAGTGTGTCATGTGCCAATTCAATTTTCAAATTAAAAGTTTTTGGTGTGAAATTTTTTTATATCACCTGTTTAGGAGTAATTAGAATAAGAACACAAGTCCAAAATACATAAATGTACATACAATATTATGTATGAACCAAGATTAAACGAAAAGAAGAGGCGCAAGTAAAATTAATCATAAAATTATGAACGAAAGACATTCAATTAATATTTAATGTGTTCGATCCCTATGTAAACAAGAACTGTATATGAATGTATATAAGAATGTATGTAAATACCTAAAATCCTTTATTTTGAAAAATTATTAATTTTTAGATTGAAAATATTTTTGAATTTAAATCTTAAAATGATTAATTATTTAGTTTGTTTAACATTTTCAAAGTAAAAGGGAATGTATGAAAGTTTTGAAAGTGAAAGTTGAAAACTTTTTAATAACTTCAATAAATATTTGACCAATTTTTCATATTTACACCTGAATGTCGATTAATGATTTTTATATTTAACACATTTTAAATAGATGTTTTCATTTCCGTCCCAAATTTTAAGAATTGACAGTTACCTACATAGTGCAATTTTCAGCAATAAGTGATAAAAAATAATTACACGATCGTTTCGTGTTTATTACTATTAATTATAATAATAATTAGCACGAAACGAGTTTCCATGTTTTTCGTTTATTTCATGATATTAGCATAATTACAAAATATCTTTGACTAATCCAGTTAAGTTTTTAAAATTATTTATTGCTATATATAAGTTGTGTAGGTTTTGAAAAGAAGACTCCCAGTTTTTGAATTTTTAGGTTAAAATATCGTTTCTCTTATGAGGAGCAAAATGCCTATGCTAAATAACGTATTTTTAGTCGGAATATTTTGAATCTTGTAATTTTATTGTATTTTGTATTTAGTAATTACTTATTAAATAAGTAAAAAGAATTTTATTTTAAATAATTTTCAAAATTAAAATAATGGAATTGAATC